ACACAGACAGCCTCTTCCCAATATGCGTTTTTGCAATTTACATATATGCAAAAACGCATAAAAGCCACAAATTTATCGCTGCTCAATCAAAAATAGCTATCTTCGATTGAGTTAAAGCCATTTCCTCTTCCTGTTTTTTATGCCTTTCCGCATCATGTTGCAGTTCAAAAACACATGAGGGCGAAGTCATGCATGTATGTGTGTACATACGTCTGCCGTCAAGCTATTTGATTTGACTCTAAAATTACGTAAGCTATAAGGTTAAAATTTTCTGGAAAAAATCTTCGATCCTTCAAGAATCCAGAAACGAAATATCAAATTTCACTTTCTCCTGCATTTCGACCTTATAACTTTGCGTCTTGTGGAAGCAGTCTGCATGTAGTGTAGTATCTTTAACTGGGCAGCATATTTATCATCTGACCGTCTCCAGAAAAATAGCGAACATACATCGAATGGATGCGTGTTTAAGAACTGCAGCTTAGAAATGAAATGCCTAACAGAGCTATGCCCAGAATATGACGCATCCCAGTAACAGCACTAATATCGAGTCCTTAAAGCAGGCCTTCTTGGTGATTTCGGTAACTGCAAATTCATGATATTATTGTTTGAAGTGCAAAGCTCAAACAGAAATATTATCTCCAGCTATATTTTCAGGACAGACAGAAAGGGTTACTGAAGAATCACTGCACTCGATAATGGATCCGAAGTTACGTGGCTTAACAGGGTGCACAGCTGCAGACATTGTCCAGCTCTACGTAGACGCCCTAGCAGCGGGAACATTTTGTATTGATGGGGCTGGTCATATCGAGCACGCTTCAACAAGTTTTGCGACACTTTTCAATAAAACGGTTGGTTGAAACCTTTAAATTGAAATAAACTTTTGCACATAGCTCGCTAAAGTTGTTTTTAGTTGCAGTACCACTAAATAAAGTTATACAAAGCATTCAAAAAAGTAAATGGGAGGCATTTCCTGTAAGTCAAAAATAATTGCACAGTGCTGCATACGTCGTACGAGATCTGAGCCTCAAATTTGAACGATTACATTGAATTTTGCGTAACGATGTTGGCGGCAAAATGCACCCTCAAGTTCGCCGCAACATTTCCGAGTTGAAGGCTCGTTTAAATTTGCTTAGCTAGTTTTAGACAGACAAATTTATGCGAAAAATGCAGCTATTCATATGTACAGCTACATATACAGCTCCGACATATACAGCTATTCATATGTAATGTGGTTCTAAACTTGCTTGCTATGGCACATCGTGGATTTGTAGCGCAAAGGGAAAAAATTAGACTAATAGGGAGCTGTATATTATCAGTAGGTGAAGCCCCCTTGTTATCACAATCTATTTTTTTCTCACGCAGTAATTCTCAGTGATTTTTACCAAATTACTATTTTTGAATCGGAAAAAATTGACGGAAAAGAATTTTTTAGACGTCTGATCTTTACGGTACAAATTTATTTGATTTACTGGATGCAGCAACAGAATTCAATGGAATACTGTCAAAAATTTCACTGTATCAGCCTGATACTGCAACAGAGGACAGTGGAACAAAATATCGAACTATTCAGCAGACTGTCACTATCAAAAACACTCAGCGACAGCTCCTCATTCTGGGCATTCTGAAGAAAGTGTCCGAAAGCTGTTTGCTCATGCCAGAAAGTACTTCTGAAATTATACCAGAAGTTTGTGCAAATCAAGTAAGTCGTTTTTGTGCATTTTTTGAGAGGTGAAACTTACAGTGAAATTGTTTTCTCGAAATAACAGAATGAGTTTGGTCATCAGGAAATGGCCAGCAGTTTAGCATGATCATTGAACTCCACACCAAGCGTTGTCCAATCTCTCGGTTCAAGCTCCTTTGCCTTAATTAGTACCAACATAAGTTCCTATGGAATTTATTTTTTACGATGTATCGTAGTTGATTTTAAGAAAGACGTGTACTGTTTTTCACTTTCTTTCGGGATTGCTAACTTATTTTTGTATCGTCACAGTTTCTCCAGCACTCAGCCTGTTATAGGATTTTATTTTCAACGAAACTGTGGAGGGCTGTTTTCGCATAATGCAACTTTACCTGTAAGAGTCAAGTTTTGTTTACAATGACCACGTTTTGCATCCTAGGTGCTAAGAAAGCGACACTCCTCGAAGTACTTGGATCAGCCATAATTCAGAACAGCACCAAGAAAAAACCCAGGCTGAAACGCACCAGGCGAACCGGGTAATCATGCGTTTTTGCACCAAGCTTGAACTAATTAGGTTAACTGCATCAACGGTCGTTCCTTCACACCTACCTTCTGCACTCAATACTGTCATCGTTAATTTTGCATAAACGGGAATAAACAATTTCCATCTAGCGGTCGTTTTTGTGCGTTTTTTGCATCTATGCAATACAGACGCAGACTGGAACGCACCAGGCGAGCCGGTGCGATCATGCGTTTTTGCATCAAACTTTGAGGTACTCC